CGAACTGGCGGACCTCCTTTAGTGTTACACATTGAACGGAAACGTCACATCTATCACCACAATGGCGGAAGAAAGTGTTTTGGTTGAAGCGTCGTCCTTTATGGATCCCTTTAAAGGGCTTTTGTTGACATATTTTATGCCAGAATCATGCTACGACGAGTTCTTTCTCAATTTCAACTTCCTGGACGGTAAGCGGCTCATTTCTAGTTGAATACGGAAGCTCAGTGACGGAAGAGACTCTTGGAGGATGTATTGCTCAATGCGTCACGTCATAAAGCAGCTGTTACGTTAACGGTATGTACGTTCAACGTCAGGTTAGAGGAGCAGCAGACAGCTTTAGCTATTTGCTATTAATTAAATAAAAAGAAAGTAATTTACCGTAAGTAAAAACATTAAATTGGGACCTTAAAAAAACAAAAACATTCCGGTTATTATGACATTGTATAAGATGCAGCACAACATCTTAAAAACACGCGCGTTGACTGATTTGAACTACTCAATTAAATGCATCCCATGTCAACATGTGACCAAAACACTAGCTGCGTTCCACATCGCGCACTTTTTACTTTTAGTACATACTGCAGCTGCCCTTACAAAGTATGTGCTGTTGCATGCAGTATGCATTGAAGTGGGACATTCTACTTCCTCATAGAATTTGCTTCTTGAAATTTGACCCTCTTGCTCATGTACCTGCAGCGCAAAGGATTGTGGGTCAGAATAGCCAGAAAGGCATGCTGTCCTGCGTACTGCAGAATGCGACTGGATGCAGGAGAACATCCTGGAATTTTCTGGGATAGTGCATTTGACACCATATTGGGCCATGCTAAATATCTTTCTGGCACACTAACTAGTATGGTAGACACACCGTCCTGCAGCCCCAAATACTGACTACAGCTCCACATGGAGATTCATCCACTGCTGAAAATAGTCCCTAAAAATGTTTCCTGTTTGAGTAACATTTGTTGAAAGCTACATGTTTTTGTGACTGATTTGGTGTGTGTGTGTGTGTGTGTGTGTGTGTGTACTTTGATGTGATTTATGACATTCAGCTAATCTCTTTTCATATTTTGGTGCAGTACCATGTCTGAAGATTATGCTGAGCAAAGGCCTGGGGATCGGCATCATCCTGGGATCAGTGATGGGTAAAACACCTCACCTCCACTCTTCATGATTCATAAGTCAGTTGGACTCCTGATTTAGGTTGAGTTTAAGATTTAGATGAATCACTGATCGTGTTGTCCATTTGAAGCCTTCTACTTACCGAGTAGCATTATTTCTTTATTTATTTAACTACTCTTATCAACATTGTATGTTAGATATTAAAATGAAGAGATGAGAAAGTATCATGAATTGACAACTGGTTATTTATTGGCAGGCAACATGAGCAACATATTTCTCTCTCTCTCTCTCTCTCTCTCTCTCTCTCTCTCTCTCTCCCTCTCTCTCTCTCTCTCCTCTCTCTCCTCTCTCTCACAGTGAAGCTGCCTCAGATCTTCAAGCTGATGGGAGCAAAGAGCGCTGAGGGGCTGAGCTTCCACACTGTGCTGCTGGAGCTGCTGGCCATCACAGGAACAATGGCCTACAGTATCGCCAACAAGTTCCCTTTCAGGTTGGGACCAAATGCAAATCAACTCTGTGAAGTAGAGATGCAGCGCTCTGACTTTGTTGTGTCCCATGTTAAGTAAGAAGTTGAGTAACAGTGTGAATGTTTCCTCAGTGCCTGGGGGGAGGCTCTGTTCCTCATGCTGCAGACAGTCGCCATCGGCTTCCTCATTCAGCACTATGGAGGAAGAACCAGCAGAGGTACGACTTACCTCAGGGTGGACGCTCACGTGCACTAATGTGCCCTAGAAGGCAGGTGTGGCGGCTCAGCTATGAAAACAAACACAGAGAAGCTCGGATAACAAAACACACAGAGAGAGATCGGCTCAGGCAGACATTACTCCACTATAGCGTTACACAACTAGTAGTTGTTTGCCGCTATCTTAATGCTCTGAATGTCAGATTTAGCACAAGACTCACCGACAACAAAACTATTGCGAAACAAAATATTTGGTGCAGGGTACTCATGGCTACATATTTGTCTCTCGCCCATCATGTTAAAGTAAGAAGAAATGTACATAGTAAATAACCATTTTACTACTATAATATAGTCTGGGCTAGTCTAAACTGGCTACAACCCGCCCCATAGGAATCTTTACATTGTGAAATAAAAGTGAACCAAACCCAGAGAAACTCAAAGCCGGATTGAGTCCTTGGACATTGTCTCCTCTCTCCCAGGTCTCCTGTTCCTGGTTGTGTATTTTGGCCTGCTGGTCCTCGTGCTGTCTCCAGTCACTCCCATGTCAGTGGTTACCTCCTTACAGGCCT